GTTGCCCCGTTCCTCTTGCTGCCTGAATTGAGAGTGAGGCGCGGCTGTAGGGGAGCGGAGCGAAGAATGGCTGCGGGGGCCAACCGGAGAGGGGGCCCGCACCGGGTGAGGAGGCTTCTGGTGCTGGTCGTGGTGGTGCTGCTGGAGTTGGCGTGCCCGGCTGACGCGCTGGAGAACGGGCTGGCGCTGACGCCGCCCATGGGGTGGCTGCATTGGGAACGCTTCCTCTGTCAAACCGACTGCTCCCAAGATCCCCGACGGTGCATCAGGTAGACACTTTTTCTGGGAAGGAATTGGAGTCTTTGTAAACGTTTGCATGGCTGGAGCGTGCGTGGCGCTCCGCACGTGCTCAGGGGCACTGTTGCATTTGTAAATGGGGGCGGGGAGCATTGATCGCGAAGTGTGGGATAGTGGTTAGGATAAGACCTATGATGAAAATCACTCTCGGCCATAAAATTCACTGGGTAGCATTGGGCTCGTCCTGCGCTGTCCGTTTAATCCACCTCACAGGGTTGTACTAGAATGAGGAAAGGAGGACCATCTGCTGAGCCCCTTAAAGAACGGCTGGGATAAAAATGCACCCGATACAGGTGAGAAAACGCCCCTGGCCTGGTTCTTGGAAAGTTGCAGCCAGTCAGAAGTTTGATAGTACCAGGCTAGCTTGCCCAACTGTATACTATTCTATTGGAAAATACTGTACTTATAGTGCTGCTTGTTTGTCAATTATCAAAATGTTAATTAAAAAAAAGTATCATGTACAGTTTAACATTAATGTCTAAGTTAAATGCCATTTGTATGGTTTAGTGGAGACTAGTTTTTCTCTCTCCTACTAAGGGAGTTAGGTGAATAGAGTAAAACTAGGAATATGGTGGTTTTGCCAGTTTGGTGTAGTGGTTAAGTGCAGGGACTCTAATCTGGGAGAACTGGGTTTGATTCCTCACTCCTCCACTTCACCTGGCTGGATGACCTTGGGCAAGCCATAATTCTGCCACAGCTGTTCTTGAAAAAGAGCAGTCTCTGTCACTCAGCCCCACCTCCCTCACAGGGTGTCTGTTGTGGGGAGGGGAAGGGAAAGGAGTTTGTAAGCCGCTCTGAGACACCTTTGGGTAGTGAAGGGCGGGGTATAAATCCAATCTCTTCTTCTTCTGAGTGGCCACTTTGCTTATTTTATTAATTCATTCACTTTATTTATACTCTTCCTTTCTCCCCACTGGGAACCTGAAGCCTGTCCTTCATTTTATCCTAACAACAACCCTGTGAGGTAGGTTGGGGTGAGTGTGTGACTGGCTAAGGTCACCCAGAGAGTTTCCATGGCCTGAGT